CCCCCCCAGCCGATCTCACTCACTGTAAAAGCGGCTGTGCTGCACTGCTTCCGGAACCCCCAGTCACTTCCAGAAGCTTTTGCTGGCGGCCCAGCTCCCTGGCTGGCACTTGCAGGGGCGGCACTGGTGTTCCTGCCTGCCCCACTGCCCGCCAGCTAAACAGGGAGCATGGCCTGACCGGGGGTGCACAGGTGCTCTCAAGAGGTCATCCCCATGCACCCCCTATACGTCACTTCTGCCCCTGCCACTCTCCCAGACATTTGCTGTCTGTAAAGCTGTATTAGCTGTTGCATTTATCTCCACACACATTAAACATGATACCTAGAAAGTTTCCAAAACAGAGTGGGTTCAGGAAATAAATGGAGCTGTCCATTTTGCATCCTCATGGTAAAGCTCAACTCTGCCCAGAACAAAGGTCATCCGTTTCAGTGAAATGGGTCAGGGTAAAATCTATTATCTTGGTACGTGTTTTGGAAATATAGTATTTCATTGATAACATCTCTGTGAATGCTTGTTGTTTCTTGTAGACTTGAAGGCAGGACTCTGTGTTCATTTGCTTTGATAAAAGTAAAGTAATGGGGGGTGGGGAGGAGAAGGGGTTGGAATAAGAACCCTTTCATTAGGCTACATCCAATGCTTAACTGGATGAAGTTCCTCAGTTAGTAAAAGGAAGAGAGTGCAGTTTTACTCTGAAAAGTGGCTCAATTAAAAATGATACCAAGTGTTCCTTATTCATTATCTGTTAATGGCACCACATAAACAATATTCAGTTAACAGGAAAATTAAGTGGTTACTTTGCCCAACCCCCCGCCCCAACTCATTCTGTCTTGCGTCACATTGAGTGACTTCCTTCCACATCACTGCCAGTAATAGGCCAGCTGTACCATCACGGATGTATGTCACTCCATTCTTCTTGACTTCAATAAACTATGCTTCTGATGATTAATTAAAGGAATAGATTCTAGCTCCCTCTGAGCTGTGTTGACTCTGCAGGGAGAACAGGAATACAAATGCATGTTAGTCATGAAGTCGGCAGATCTGACCCAGAATACACACATGGAGCAGATTAGATGAAAAATAGGGTGCATTTTTACACAGACAGCTTTCATGCTACAACTTTAATATTTTTTAAAGTTTTGAATATGGTTTACTAGAGACACTTAGTGGCTAAAAATGCTCATTGCAGGCATATATTTAAAACCTGTAAAACACCACTCCTTGTGTTTACTGTACAAAATGACAACAAAATACACTGTAACTTTGTATTCCCTATCTTCAATAATTTAGTCGTCTTCTATTTTATGCATATGGCTGATACCTAGAATTACTGCTTATAAAATACATATGCATTCATAAGGTAAAATAAACATTCTAACCACTGCATTGAATTGCAAAAAAAAATAAATGCTAGTATAGAAATAAAAAACTAAATTAAAAAAAAAATCAAACAAGAAGCTGCTACCTTCAGCATTGCTAACCCCAAGTATTCAAAACTCATGAGTCATACCTAAAAAAAGGAATCCAATCCATGAGGTTTTTTATGTGTAATTTGAGGTTCTTTTCCTTCTGGTTTCTTAAGATTTAGTGTGCACCCAAGTGACGATTTCTGTTTTCTTTCCACCATTGTGAGATTTATGAACTTAATTTTTAAAAAATGGAAGCTGAGATTTCCACAATACCATAAGATTCAAAATGCTGAGGCCTCAAAATTGCAAATATTTCATGTCTTTTGATAAACGAATTATTGCCAGCAACACTACAGTTACGTCTACTTTAGAGATGTCTGTCAGCATAACTATAGTGAGTTGTGTGTGATCCTGAAGCAATAGTGCTGTGCCAGCTGATGCCACTGAAGTATTCTGGCAAATCTGCACCTGCTATTAGTCTGCTTCAGTCATGGTGAGGATGAGTGGGAGTTTGAGAGGGATTCTACTATACTAATACAAACACAGCTCTGCCAGCCTAATTGGATTCACAGCAATGTTTTCCTGGTATTTCCATACCAGCATATGCTGGTATTCCTTTCCTGGTAGAATACGCCTAAAGTAGACCTATCCTGCCTGTTGATGATGAAGTGTACTGGTTTGTCTACAGCCTGGTGTGCTGGTTTACTGGCAGCACCATCTAGTATATTCTTGTGTGCCATTTGTCAGTTTGAGAAACGTATCATTATTATTATGATTGTTGTGGAGCCTAAAGCCTTAGTCATGCACCATTGTGCTAGGTGCTGTATAAACAGAAAGACAGTCACTGTTCCAAAGAGTTTTCAATTTTAAATTATATACAAGACAAAAACACCCCAGGGAGTTTGAATAAGAACAGCAAGACAGTACAGATTGGCATGACGGCAGTGTTTCAGCACACCAGCAGCCTATGGTTTTGTAGGCTCTGTGGAAAAGGAGTTTTAAGGAGGGCTTTGAAGGAGAACAACAACATTTCCTTTGCAGATATTTGTAGGGAGCTCCTCTGAGGTGGAAGCAGCACTGTACCTAGATTTCTGGTGGCCCCGGGGAAATTTTCAGTATTGGGCACCCCTTTGCCAGAAATAATTATAATAATAATCAGACAATGAAAAAAAATATACCATTTTTGGAGCCCCTTTCTGTCCGGGACCAGGGTGGTTTTCCAGCTTGCCCATGCCTGTGTCTGGCCCTGGGTGGAAGGCAGCATGGGAGAAAGGAAAAGGTGTCCTTTGCAGATGCTTGTAGGGAGCTCCTCTGAGGTGGAAGGCAACATGGAAGAAAGGAAAACAGTTCATGTTTTAAATTTTTAACAGGGTAGGAGGGGAAAGGCTGTGAAGAGCCTTGAAAGACAAGTAGCTTTGTTTGATGCCGTGGAGAAGGGGGAGCCAGAAAAGGGATGCAATGAGGGAGTGACATGGTGGAAGCGATGGGCTGAGAAAATGATCTTTGCAGTCATGTCCTAGAGGGATGTGAATGAAGAAAGACTGCATTTGTCAAGGCCAGAAAAAAGGATGGGTCCATAATTGGGATGGGAGATGATGAGAGCCTAGATGAGTGTGTGTGGTAGCAGTGCAGATGCAGCTGCATCTTTTAGAAAAGTGATGCTGAAAGGATTTGCAAGATTTATAACCTGGATGTGAGGGCTTACAGAAAGGTCAGAATGGAAGGCAATGCGCTCGGCTGGTGGGACTGAACCAGAGGGTTGCCCTCAACTCCGACGCAACACAGACCTAACACCCAGCCAAGGGGTCAGCAACCTTTCTGAGCAGAGTGCCAAAAACACCCACACTTGTAAGATGTTGGTGCGCCAGGGGCATGAATGCTGCATGCCCCTGGCAGCTGGGAGGGCACTGCAAGCTCCTGCAAGTGGTGGTGGTGCTGTTGGCGGCAGGAGTGTGATGGCAATGAGTGGGGAGCTCCCGCAGGCAACCACAGTGCTGTCGGGGGCAAGCGCCAACCAGTGGTCGGTGACCACCCACAGATGCCGCTGGCAGTGTGGGCAGCAGCTAGAGGTGATTGCAGACTGCCAGCAGATGCCACTGGTAGTGTTGGCAACAGCGGGGGGTGGCAAGTGGTGACTGCCAGCAGGCACCTTTTCACAGGGGGGCACCGTCATGTTCAGGGGGGGGCATGTGCACTCCCTATGCCTCACCAATGGCCAGGGGGAGCCAGGAGGGGCCTGGTCCTTGCTGTTGCTGTGTAGCCCCGACCCTTTCCCTGCCATCCACCCAGAGGTATGTGTGCCAAGTAAAATCTCTCCAAGTGCCACACTCCAGCACCCATGCCGGGGGGGCTGCCTACCCCTTTCAGACCTGGGTGCCCTCTGAGCAGCACTCCCTCGCACATGCCCAGGCTTTTGGGGAGGGCTGTCCTCTGGGAACAGAAGGCCCCTACCAGACGTCACATACATCATGCAAGTCCCTGGCAGAGCGGGCCGGAGCCACGCGTTTACCAAGTGACTCTCAGGGGAGCAGAAGGCGCCGGCGGCTCCCGCGGGGACACACCGGGGCTTGTGTGGGAGGAGCGGGGCAGAGCCGGGACCCTCCGGAGCTCCCTTCAAGAGCCCGCGGGCTGCAAAGCGGGAGCTACTGCCCCCAGGGACCCGCTGCTCCGGGCAGGGCGGTCGGGAC